TCCTAAAACCATGAGTAAGTTTCTTGGGCAGCTTTTCATTCTTACCATAGAAGTCACCACAGAATGAATTACCTAACATAATGAGGCTTTTTATGCCCATGATGGCTCATATTCATTTTAAATATAGCTTAGTTAACATATAACTACACTAAAGTAAGAAAACAAATTTTCTGTGGTCAGGGGCTATTAAGACACTGAGAACTCACCCAAAGCTAGATAAAGAAGAAATAGAACACCTAAACAGACCAATTACAAGCAGCGAAATTGAAATGGTAATCAAAAACCTCCCCAAAAACAAAAGCCCAGGACCTGATCGATTTACAAATGAATTCTACCAAAGATTCAGAGATGAATTAGTGCCTATCCTTCACAAACTCTTCCAAAAAATTGAGAAGGAAGGGACAATACCAAACACGTTCTATGAAGCCAACATTACACTAATACCAAAACCGAACAAGGACAACACAAAAAAGGAAAACTACAGGCCAATCTCCCTAATGAACACTGATGCAAAAAAACCTCAATAAAATTTTAGCTATCAGAATCCAACAATGTATCCATAAGATAATTCACCACGACCAAGTAGGATTCATTCCAGGGACACAAGGATGGTTCAACATCCGAAAATCAATCAACGTTATCCAACACATCAACAAAAAGAAATATAAAAACCATATGATAATATCAATAGATGCTAAGAAAGCTTTCGACAAAGTGCAACACCCATTCATGATAAAAGCCCTGAAATTCTTGGGATACAAGGAACACACCTCAACATCATAAAGGCCATATATGACAAGCCAACAGCCAGTATCATTCTCAATGGTGAAAAGCTGAAAGCAATTCCATTAAGATCTAGAACAAGACAAGGATGTCCACTCTCACCACTGCTTTTCAATATAATACTGGAAGTCCTAGCCAGAGCAATAAGACAAGAGAAAGACATACAAGGAATTCAAATAGGAAAAGAAGAAGTCAAACTATCACTATTTGCAGATGATATGATAATATACATAGAGAACCCCAAAAACTCCACAGAAAAACTAATTCAACTCATCAATCAGTTTAGTAAAGTGGCAGGATACAAAATCAACACGCTAAAGTCAGTAGCCTTCCTATACACAAACAATAAATCTGAAGAAGAAGAAATAAAAAAAAACCATCCCTTTTATTATCGAAACAAAAAAATCAAATATTTGGGAATAAATCTAACAAAAGAGGTAAAGGACCTAAACAAAGAAAACTATAAAACACTGTTAAAAGAAATAGAAGAAGACACAAAGAAATGGAAAGACATCTCCTGCTCATGGATTGGAAGAATAAACATTATCAAAATGGCCATCCTCCCAAAAGCAATATACAGATTCAATGCTATTCTAATCAAAATTTCAATGTCATTCTTCAAAGAAATAGAACAATTATTGATGAAATTCATATGGAATCACAAAAAACCCCGAATAGCCAAAGCTCTCCTGAAAAAAAAAAAAAGAAGGGAATGGCGGCATCACACTCCCAGACTTCAAACTATACTACAAAGCCATAATCATCAAAACTGCATGGTATTGGGACAAGAACAGACACACAGACCAATGGAATAGAATAGAAAATCCAGAAATAAACCCAAAGATTTATGGTCAACTAATCTTTGACAAAGGAGCAAAGACTATGCATTGGAGCAAAGAAAGTTTGTTCAATAAATGGTGCTGGGAAAACTGGGTCGCTACATGCAAAAGAATGAAGCTTGACCACTACCTCACACCATATACAAAAATCAACTCAAAATGGATTAAAGAACTAGACATAAGACCTGAAACCATAAAATACATAGAAGGAAATATAGGCGAAACACTACGTAATTTGCATATCAAAGACATCTTTACAGACACATCACCCAAAGCAGTGATAGTGAAGGCAAAGATAAACAGCTGGGACTACATCAAATTAAAGAGTTTCTGCACAGCAAAAGAGACAATAACAAAAACAAAGAGAAACCCCACCGACTGGGAGAACATTTTTGCACCCAACACTAATGATAAAGGACTGATCACAAAAATCTGCAAAGAGCTGGTGAAACTCAACAACAACAAAGAAAATAATCCAGTCAAAAAATGGGCAGAAGAGCTAAAAAGAAACTTCTCTGACGAGGAAATGCAAATGGCCAACAGGCATATGAAAAAATGTTCAACATCACTTGTCATCAGGGAAATGCAAATCAAAACTACCATGAGATACCATCTTACACCAGTGAGAATGGCACATATTAAAAAAACTAGCAACAACAAATGTTGGCGAGGGTGTGGAGAGAAAGGAACTCTTCTGCACTGTTGGTGGGAGTGCAAACTGGTCCAACCACTATGGAGAGCTGTGTGGAGATTTCTGGACCTACTAAACATAGAGCTTCCATATGATCCAGCAATTCCACTCCTAGGTATTTACCCAAAGGACACAGAAACATCAATTCCAAAGAGCACCTGCACCCCTATGTTTATAGCAGCACTATTTACAATAGCTAAGCTTTGGAAACAACCCAAATGCCCAAAAGTAGATGACTGGATCAAGAAGATGTGGTACATATATACCATGGAATATTACTCAGCATTCAAAAAAGATAAACACATGCAATTTGCAGCAACATGGGTGGCGCTGGAAGGGATCATGCTCAGCGAAATAAGCCAGAAAGAAAAAGAAAAATACCGGATGGTCTCACTCATAGCAGGAATCTAGAAAACTTAAATAAGGGACCGGGAAAATGAATAACTATAAGAAAGTGAAAATCAATATCAACAAACAACTAGGAACCAGAGACACTCTAGGGGTGGTAGGGGGCGGGAGGGGAGGTATTAGGGTCAAAATAAGGGGGTTGTAATTGTATGGGGAATATAAATATAAAATTAAAAAAAAAAGACACTGAGAACTTAATCTTCCAAAATGTCACAAACACCATCTTATTCCCCACCGCCCATCCCAGCATACCAGGAATTATGGGATAACATCATGCCATCATCTTGCCTAGAACAACAAGAAGTTGGGAGGGGACTCCGGAACCAATAGTTGGGTCATGGAATACTCCGATATTACAATTGCATAAACTCTACAGCTGCTGATGAGATTAATGGGACAGGAAGCAGTAGAAGAGGGAGAGACGGAAAAAAATCAGTTTTTCCTTTGTCTGTAGTTTATAGCAGGTGGGTGGAGACTTCATTTGAGCTTGGTGAGTTTTGAACTGAACTGCACTAGTATTTTCTATCTATTATTGAATATACAAAAGAAGACATTTTAGATTGGAAGAGAGTAAGAGAAATCTAATATGGCCACAGTAATTGCCCCTCTCCCTGGCCTGTAACCAAATGACTAGACAAAGATAGATGCACCATTAAGTGGCAAACTTGGAAAGCAAAGTGAATATCACTACTTGGTTAAACTCTTTGAAAAATTCCTTGCATCTAAGACTATTATTAAGTCCATTTTTTCATAGTTCCCCTCGCCAAGATCTCAATTTCATTGTTTTGGTAGTCGCTATGCTTGTGTTAAAATATTTGGTTCTTGTAACATGGAGTTGAGTCTTCCCTTTATTTCTTAGAATATATTTATTTTATGGTTCTTTTCTGATTCTGTTAATTATATTTTCCTGGGTACAAGTTATTCTGTTACAGTCATCTGCTCCTTAGTGATGTTTCAGTAAACAAACTGCATGTAAGTGATGGTGGTCCCAATAGGTTATAACATACAACCTAGATGGGAAGTGAGAGATACTATCTAGGTTTGTGTTATTACACTCGTAATATTTGTATCATGATGATATCACCTAACACATTTCTCAGAATATGTCCCTGTTGTTAAACAAAGCATGACTGTCATTGGTTTTACTCAGTTCATTTGTTGATTTTACTTACACATTTTCTGATTCCTAGTTGTGAAGATCATCTTTTACAGAGTAATCCTTCTGATATCTAAATCCAGGATAGCTCTTGCTAGGAGAGTTGCTTGCCTGTTTCTTTCTTCTTGGAGCCCTTTTTTTGTGCCCTTGACCAAAGAGAATTTGCTTTCTTATTTTTAACATGGTTATATATTAGCTAATCTATATTTTATATCATAAAAATACAATTTTTTTCAGATTTTATATGGAAAAGAGGTCATTTCTATTTAAATGGAAACTGGATTCTTTGATATGTAATATCTATAAAACTGTAACACTGTTTCTTTTAGCAAGTCAAGAATTTTCACTCAAACTACTTTAGGAACAGAGCACATCAGGGCTGTTTTTTTTTTTTTAAAGATTTTTTTTTATACAAGAACTGGGACACAGGCCAGATGTGCTGGAGGGTGAGGGGATTCACCAGAGACAGAGCAGGGAACAGAACAGGCAGACTGACTGAAATACACTGCTGAGGGGAGCAGAGGGCGAGACAGGAGAGGTCTGCTGCACCATGTGGGTAGCTCCCTGGCCAGCCGGGATTGAACTTGTGCTGCAGAGACTGCAGATAGCTTCACAGCACTGTGCTCAACCGCCTGCGCCACCAGGGAGGCCCAGGGCAGTTTTTAAAAGGTCCAAATCTCATATAGAACAGAGCAATTAATATGGTGGCTATGTTTGTAGTTTTGTAAGAAAACATATGCATATGGACAATGAATCTGCCAAAATGGAAATTTTTAGTTTTATTAAGGTCGTAAATTTATGGATGAGTTTTTCTCTCTTGGCATCCCAAAATTTATATATTATTTTTTAAAGGGGGGTGTGTAACTTTTGAGTATATATTCTAAATAACTTTGAAGCATTATACCATGTATACCACCTCCTATTAATATACCCAATTTCTTTATAGTATAAAGTTAAAACTCCTCAACTAAATGTCCCCAACGTATCTGTTCCCATATTGCCCCTCTTCCTACCTCCCTCCATTTTCTTATGCCTCATCTAGTCTCAGTCTTCTCCCATTTCATGACTCAGACGCTGCTGCTGGTTTCTGCTGTATTTAAAGACTTGAAACACATTTTTGCAGGGTCGTTTATCTAGGTACAGGATTCTGGTTCTTCTGGTCTATCGTTGTCCTGAGTATCTTTGGGATCCTGACTGCCTATTCTCTATTATTGTTGGTGAGTAATGTTTTCCATTTCTCCCACTTCCTTCTTGAGTAGCCTAAGGAAGTGCTGGTGTCTGTAGTATGGTACGTAGTCGAGACTGGGAGCCATCAGAACCTTCGATCACTCTCGTCTTAGCAGAATTTGGAGTTTACACCTGCCACTTGAATTGTGGGTGAATGAGAAAGAGACTTGTGCTATTAGAGGGTGTGTCTTACCACTTTTACCCTTTGAAGGAATGGTGGAACATCCTCCTTTTATTCCCATTCCTTAGCTTTGTTCTATAACCCGCCTAGTATTGTCATTTTAGGTACCTTCATTTCATATTAGCAGTGCCTTTACACATTGAACGACCTGTTTTCATATCCTGTCTCCTAAGAATCAGTATTTCTGGGTCTCACAGATTAGCTGTTGTTAAACCTATTATAGTACAAATGCTAATCCCCTGGTGCAGGTACAAATTACATTTTAGCAAAAGTCTTTGCAGCGGTCACTCTCCCAATGTTGCCTGACATTGTTGTGTTGTGTAGTATGACAAATTCAGGTCAGGCAAGAGAAAGCTTATGGGAGGATAACTTTTTAAGTAATTGGAGTGTTTTAGTACCCACTTACACACAGGGCATTATATCTTTGTTTGTTTTAATGATTCCTTATCCCCACTGTTTTCCTGTCTGATAAAGAAGATCCCAACCCTTAAATAAGCTGCCATTTGCATCATTTTTTCCCTTTCAACCAAAGTTATTAATCATTATATGAATGATAGGTGCTAAGTAAATACAGATCAATAAAACAGAAACAGAAGTTTCTGTTTCATGCAGGACACTTCATAGAAATAAATATGAAATATGGCTACAAAAATCCCTTAGTTCAATGAGTTTGGAATCTAGTAGGACAACTAAGTCATAGACAAGCGTAAATAGCACACAAAGATCATTACAACAATCTTTAGAGAGACTTGAATAGAGTTCATCATGGGTTCTAAGAAACTGGGGTTAATTTCCGCTAGGTAAATGACCTTGGAAGAGCTGACCCTGACCTCTCTTCTCTCACAAATAGGTCTAAGTAATACTAGGAATAAAGTCCATCACAGGGAAAAAAAATTGGCAGGAACTCAGGAAGGATATTAGTGTGGTGATTGTTAGGAAATTCCAGAGGAGTTAATAATCAATCCTTCTGGGAGTGCTGGTGAATTTTACAAATAGGAGGTGACACTTTAATTGGCTTTGAAGGGTCAGTGTCATGGGAAGAGAGAGCTTTTCAGACAGAAAAATGACATGGCAAATTCTCAGAGACTGAAAAGTACAGCATTAGCAAGAAGTGAATATAGTGCCAGAATGTGAAAGGAATTTTCAACTACAGAACAGTGCTTTGGACAGCAACTTGGTGATTTTAAACTGACCTTTTCCTTTTTCTTCTTTGCTTTTTCAGCTACTTGGATTTTTGTTGATTTGGGAAGGGTATGAACTACATCTGCACTGGTTTCATAAGGTAGGACTTCTGAATCCTCAGGAGGCTTTAGACCAGGCAGTCAGTGTTTGGTACAGAGTTGCCCTTTCTCTCATTCATCCCCTTAGAAAGAAGAGATCTACTGACACTGTTTTTTTTTTTTTTTAATTTTATAGAGGCATGTTTATTTATATTTATTTATTTGTTTGTTTGTTTTGTTTATACATGCACTGGGTACAGTCAGAAGCACGGGAGGGTGAGAGAATCCACCAGAGCCAGAGCGGGGAGCAGAGCAGGCAGAAGGACCGAAGTACACTGCTGAGGGGAGCAGCGGGCGGCAGGAGAGGTCTGCGCGCCATGTGGGACTCTCCTCCGGTGGCCGGGGAGCAGCCGGGGATCGAACCGGCGCCGCAGAGGCTGCGGGCAGGTTCGCAACCCAGCGCTCAACCGCTGCGCCACTGGGGAGGCCCATACTGACACTGTTTTAACTGAAATCATTAAATTTCTAACATATCAGTGACATGTAAGAAACTGGACCCAAACTTAATTTTTTTCACATTCCTGGTTTTAGCATGTTTAAACTCATTTCTGTGACTGTTCTTATCCCAATAAAATATTAGGCAAACTCCTTTACTTTCCCAGTTTTTTATAGTCATAAGAATATTCTTATTTCAGTGATTAAAAGTTTCAGTAATCAGACTTCTTGTAATAACTTTCTTCCCTCTCTGTTTGGGCCTGATGCAGGCCTGGCAACATAATGGTGGTGGAGAGAGAATGATGGCAGGCCCCAGGGGAAGCGGAGATAGAAAAAAGAATATAGTCCCACAAAGAGGCACAATAGGTGTGTCTGGGTCTGTTCCATCAGAACTAGGGATATGCACAATTATTGGCTCTTTGCCTCCTAGGCCTTTTCTATGAGTATTTTTGGAGATCCTTCTGTTGACAACCTTGACTAATTTTCTTAATAGAGTTAGTGCAGCTTTTTCTCTACTCCCTGAAATTTCTCTGGGAGGTCCTCTTGATCCTCCCACTGCCTTAGTTTGGAGCCCTTTAAAAAATGACACCAGCATTGTTTCTCTGAAGTAAGCATCTTTGCCACCACCATCTGGACAGGAAGCTCATTTCTAGCATAGCCTCCCTCATCTGGGTGTGCCATGAGCTTGAGCAGTTCTAGCCATAACCTCTTGCTTTTCTCTATAGATTTTTTTCGGGAATGATTTTGATAACCATTCCTAATGTTTCATCCAATCCAGGAGCGTGTCAGACTCCCTTAGTCATCCCCTTCAAATTACTCAAGTGAGAGGTATGAACTAGAAATGCAAACGTAAGAGTTATTGGAATAGATGGAAGTTGAAGTCACAAGTCACATCTTATAGGGAAAAAATATAGGTTGAGAAATGAACAAATAAGTTTTATTTAGATTACCATCTGTTTTGCAGTTGGGAAAGCATGATCAGTTAGTTGATACCAAGAATCCCTCTATATCAAACCATCCTGATTACCATCCTAGGCTTGTGTCTGTTATGCAAACCATGCTAATCTTGCTATAGGCAGTAAATGCTTCTGCTCGGCCTCAGCCATGGCAGGATCTATTATTGCCTTTGAAATTGGGAAGGCAGTTTCAGGGTCAGCAGTTTAAGAACCTTTATGTAGCACAGAGAAGAGCCACTCTAGCACTTTTAAAGGATGCTGACGTTTTCTTCACCAGTCTAGTTTTCACTGTTGTCTGAGAACTCCCAGAAAACAGGATAAGGAATGGATTAGCTGATCACTGGTGATAACATTGCAGTAAACGTTTCTCAGTAAATCTGAATTCCTTTTCTACATTACATCAAAGAATGCTGGCATCCCAATATCATTAAGCATAGGCCACTATTGAGATAACCAGACAGAACTATCTTAGCTGCATAATACCTGGAATCTGGTATATTGAAACCAGAATCTCTGTTAAGTGTGCTCATTATCAATAAATTTAATATCATCTAAAATTATGTTCTTTTCTTTTTGTCTAGTACCCTTAAGATTCATCTCCCCTTCCTGTCGTAGTCTTCAGGGTTTATTTATTTATTTTTTGGTGGTGGTGGTTTTGTTGTTAATATTAATTAGCAAAACCTTCATCTCTTGAGGCCTTCTTGGCTCTAATTCTAGTTATAAGTCTAGGCAATGAGAAATGGGGTGTAAGAAGAGTTGGCATCCCTTTTGAAGGTAAATATCTTAAGCTTGGTCCTTCAGACCATGATGGGGTATGCTTAACCGACTTAGAATATACTGCTTCTGTTGGCAAAGGAAATTCTGTAGGACTTGGAGTTTAAGTTTTATTAAACATGTATTCAGAATAAACACTGAGGGAAAGGGTTAGCAACAGGCCTGTAATTGATTCTCCTTCTACCTAGGGATGCTCAGAAATAATGAATCATCTTGAGTAAAACTCTTGTAAACATACTAATAACCCAGCCCCCAATGGCAAACACACTGAAGATACTTATTAATGAAAAAATAATGGAAAATTCTTATCTGTGAACCTTTCTAGCAGGATATAACCTGGTATATCTGGGTTGCTTATTGTAAATAAACCTAGAACTTACAGATTTGTCAGGGGGAGGGGAGGCCTGACTGGCTGGAGTCGTATAGTTAATGGAATATGAGATAAGGATGCTCAATAAATACTCCATAAATGCTCCATAAATACCAAAAATACTCCTTCTGTGAAGCAGTATATCTGTATACTTTGCTCAAAACACTCTTCACATTTTAAGTCCAAGACTAAAATTATCCTAGTAAATGAGAAGAAAGAACCTTTTGTGAATAGCTGCATTTGATAGGATCAGCTTTCTCCAAGGGAAAATGTTCTGTCTGTACTGGTATTGGTTAAGATCACAGGATCACATAAGATTTATGTGAGTCTGATTTGACAATTAAACCTTTGTGTTATGATGCATTTGATAGGTTATTTAAGATTTTTGCATTTATATATAAGAGAGATTGGCCTATACTTTTTCTTTCTTGTAATGCCCTTGTTAGGTTTGGGTACCACTTTTACTGGTTTCATGAAACAAGTTAGAACGTGTTCCCTTTTTTTAGATTATCTGAAATAATTTGTTAACAATTGGAAATATTTCTGCCTGAACTGTTTGGTAAAAATAACTATTGAAGTCAGCAAAGGTTGCAGTTATTTGGTGAGAAGGTTTAATTATGGATTCACATACTTTAATAGATGCAGAGATTATGTAAAGAAAGGAAGCAGTGGGGGGGGTGGGTGGAGCAACATGGCGGCGAGGAGACACTGCAAGTAAGATCTCCCATTAAAAAAAAGTTAATAGGGAGGAAAAGCGGCAGGTCCCAGTGAGAACCGGGACACGGAAGATAAACGAGTGACTCCAGCAAACTGCCCGAAGAAGAAAGTTGCCATAAAAGAGGACCAGAAGGGAGGAAAGCGCAGAACCCTGCTCCCCTCCCCCGCCCACAAAGTCGGCACTCTCCGACCAGCAGAGAGGAGGGAAAAAAACAAACAAACAAACAAAAACGACCAACAAGAACAAACTACGCAGCAACCGGGACTGTGAGTGGAAAGGAACTATTTCAGCCACCACACCCCGTGAACGGGAGCTGTGGAGAATCCTGCAGGATCCACTGCAGAGGTGAGCTCCAGGCGCCATTAAAGAGAGACCCCGCCCCCCAGGAGGAGACCAGCACCAGCACACAGCCCCGGGCCGCCCGGTAAGCTTGCGCGGAAAAGCGGCGCGCTGGAAAAGCAGACGCGGATCGGGATCGGGATTGCGCGGAAAAGCAGTGCGGTTGAAAAGCAAACGCGGATCCAGATCGCAGCTGCCCAGGTCCCCACGCCTGCGACCTAGGCTTGCGGGGAGACGCGCGGAGGCCCTCACTGAGTGAGCAGGAACCAGGCGCCCAGGCACGGGAGCGGGATTCAAAAGGCACCATTCCTGTGCCACTGAACTGGGCTACAGCCCGCGTCCTGGAACTGAGGGCTTTGGAACTGAGACCCGGGGCACGAAATTAGGGGCGTGGGTTCCCCACGACGGTGGGGCACAAGGCAGACACAGCACCCTAAAGCCGTTGAGGTTTACCCTACCATCCCCGCTCTGGTCCCTGTCCCACGGGGTGGAAAATCAGCTCCCCAAGGGCTCTAGGAGAGATCTCTGGCGCCACCTAACGACTTGAAGCCAGCAGAGGCTCCTGGAGGAGCCAGTGGCCAGCTGGGGAGTTAGCCCACGCCGGCGCCCCTTCCGACCAGCAGTCTGAGCCCACAGGGGGAGCGAGCACCCACAGCCGGGGCAGACCAGGTGTGCAGAAGAGTGTGCCTGAGACCGGACGTGCAGGGAGTGTGTCCCACATCACCATTTTAGAACAGGGACATTTCTTCAGTAAAGACTACCTGCAGAAGGCTTCCTCAGGAGCCAGAGGTGAGCGGGGGAAGTTCGCCCACGCCAGACCCCCTCTGGCCTGCAGTCCAAGCCCAGAGGGGGAGCAGGAACCCACCGCCGGGGCAGACCAGGCGCACAGGGGAGTGTGTCCCCACATCGGCATTTTAGAACAGGGACCTTTCTCCAGTAAAGACTGCTTGAAACTGACATATGGCTCCTGGAGGAACCAGAGGGGAGCAGAGAAGTCCACCCAAGATGCCGGCCAGTCCGAGCAACACAGTGTCCCAATGCATACGACAAATTAGAAAACAGACAGTAGGGAGCAGAAGAACCACACGCAACCTAATAACTCCTCAGGAAAGAAGCACACCACAAAAAGAAAACCACCCCCCAGATTGCAACGACAGTAACTTGGAAGAACTTCTGAGCCTTCCAGAAAGAGAATTTAAAATTGCCATGATTAAAAAAGTGACAGAAGTCATAAAGGAAAACAATGATCAGAAGAAGGAAATTGAGTCCCTAAAGAGGGAAAACAATGGTCAGAAGAATGAAATTGAGTCCCTAAAGAGGGAAGTAAAAGAAATGCAGGAGATCAAAGAATTAATGGAAGAACTAAAGAATTCTGGGAGAAGCAATGGAAGCAGAATAGATGAAATGGAA